TGGCGCAGTCAAGCAGTTGCTTGACCTGCCTATATGGTATGGCTTTAGTTCTGCTTTAACATGGTGCTTATAACCACTTGGAGTAGCAAGACATTTTAGACCATATACTGAATAATCCTGGCTTCCAAGATCATGAACAGCCCAACTGTTACACATCATCCCGAGAGGTCTACTAGAAAAGCATACAAGATTGAGGGCCGGCTCACACCACTTGCAGTGCATTCCAGCTGCTGGAACGCACTGTATCCCATACTACACTACCCCCCTGCGTTCTGGGGTGATAGGGGGTGTGGTGGTGCATCAAAGTCAATGGCACCGCAGCCACGCCCCCGTACACAGTGCGATTGCCCGCACCAGAACGCGTGTCACAACAATGCCTGTGTTGCAGTCCAGTGTGATCGAAAAAAATAGTGCATGCATCAGAATACAGGGGGAAGTTTAGTATGCAATACATTCTGTTCCAGCAGCTAACCCCGTCTGTGGTGTGAACAAGCCCTAAATAGAGAACTACAGTAAACACATGCAGCAGACAAACACACACACTGCTGTGCCCCAAGACAGAGTGAAACATGTATTGGGGCCCATTTGCACTAGGGCACTCTAAAACCGGTGTAAAAAAATGCATTGCATTGACCTGCAATTATAAGCATTTTTATGCATTTGTGTTTTTGCATATGCAATTTTAAAGAGGCATTTCTTCTGACATCATTACTGTTGTAGGTCAAATTTAGAAGTTGTGTGTGTTACAATGCAAACATGTTGCACCTTACCACACAAACTGCAACGCTTTTAAATGAGATACTGTAGCATGTACATGACATATACAACGCTACTGTTTTGTATGTGTCATTGCATTTACCAACATTTCTCCAGTGCGGAAAACACAGGTATATGCACACAGTGAATGGGCTTAAAGCTGAAGTCTAACGATTTGAAAATAATCTGTTAACCTAGTTACATTTTTAAAGAAATTACAACATATAGATCAGTAAGTCTACTGCTAGTATAAGGGCAACAGAAAGAGTGGTAGAGGGAGGGGAAGCCAGGTTTTAATTTGTCTGGTGTTCCTGCTGCAGATTCTCACTTCCTAACAAGGGTTCTAGCTTTCTCTTGCTCTACTAAAGAAAATTACAGTGGTACCTCGGTTCACGAACGCTTCTGTTAGGCAAAATTTTGCCTCCATTTGCAAACTCTGCATCGGGTGACGAACACAACCGTGGCCATCTTACCCGCTCTGACACGTGGTCGTGGCTTCTTCTAGTCGAGATCGTGGTCACAGACAGACCTGTGCACACTTGCTGTGAAGCTATTTTGTGTGCTTTTTAGCACATACAGTACTGTACAGTATAATTCAAATCCAGCATGGCTCCAAAGAAAGTGCAGAGCAAGCATGGTCGTAAAAAGACAGTGCAGCGCAAGAATGGTAAGAAGAAGGTTTTGAAGAAAATAACCATTGAATTGAAGGAAATTGTAGAAAAGCATGATTGAGTTTAGTGTTCACTCTTCATACTGAACTGTACTTTGTTTCATATTTTTTTGGTAATTTTTTTTTTTACATTTGGTTCAGAACGGATTAACCTCATTTACATTGAACCTTATGGGAAAATTTGATTCTGTTCGCGACCACGTTTGTAGGGGTCAGAACGGATTAACCTTATTTACATTGAACCTTATAGGGAAAATTTGATTCAGTTTGTGACCAATTCGGTTCGCGACCAGAATCGTGGAACTAATTAAGTTTGTGAACCGAGGTACCACTGTATTTTTATTTCTGTGTTGCTGTTGGAGAGTCATCCTCACTTCCTTTCTGGTAAAATGTCAGCAGGAGAGGAAGTGAGGATACATCTCTTAACAGAGCCCTAACTAGCAGCATAAACCTACCAGGTAACTCTTTCCCACTTTATCCAAAACAAAGAAAAAAAATTTGGTTGAATAACGGATAACCACCCTGGAAAAAAGTAATGTTATTGAACTGGCCATGATATTACATGACAGACAGTTGGCTGGCTAGATCACAAGAATTAACTTTCAGTGGTAATACTGTTTACTTCACTCTGTTTTGTTTAGAATATAAAAATGCAATAACTGCTTACTTTGTATTTATCCACAATTGGAAGTCTGACAGGTCCATCCATTGATCTGTTGAAGCTTGGCAAGTTATCGAGATATGGGATAAACGGTAACCCACTGAGAAAGAAAACATTTTTAAAATTGCAATGAGAACTTGTTGTTATCAACTGCACCCCATTAGATAATTAACCCCCACAAGAATGCCAAGCAGGAGGTTGGCAGGAAAAAAAGTATGTGTGCGGTGTATGTTAATGTGTGGGGGTAGGAGCATAAAAGGAGACTTATTGATATGTGAGGCCATAGATATCCACTGATAAGGTGATTTAGTGTTATGGGACGGTTGGGGCGCCTACTACTATATGGGGGATGCAAGGGGGAAAAAATGGTGTTGACCCTGGTAGACCTGAAGAAACAAGGAACTAAAGCTCTAAGGTCACTTATATGCTACAAGCCTTTTGTTTCCTATTTTAGGAGGAAAAAGCCACCATCTCTTCTGCTGTCCTGGAAGATGACAAGAGAAAATAATTTTTAAGTGTCACTGGTTTTATTAAATTTAGGCTGTAATTTTAATCATTTGGCTGCTTAAACGTAGTGAACAAATGAAGCCATTAGAGGAACCACGGCTGCTTGCAGGGAATATGTTATTCCACACACCTGAAGTGTGTAATAGGACCAGTGTTAGGATCTCCATTACAGAGCTGTCAGCAAAAAGGCCGCAGGTTAGGTTTAAGAGTGTGTCAAAAGGCCTTTGCCTTGCATCTTTGGCATCAGTTCGAGATGCTTCTGAGATCATTTATAATTCAATGACAGGCAGATGACTTCCTCCTAATAAAACGGTTTTAAGAAGCTTTGGAATTCCAATAGACTTGTATGGGAATGCAAAACCTGTCTGTCACAAACAAAAGCCGATCAACACAGGTCCTAAAAGCTATTTTCTTCACAGGGTAGATTGCTCCAGTTTTGAAATACCCCCTCCACTGGTTCTGACACAATCTGGGAAAAGTTGCTCATGGCAACCAATCACCTCTCTTCAGTTTGCTCAGTTAAGCTTTGAAAATGAAACAGAGAAGCTGGTTGGCTACTATGGGCAACTGCTCCAGGTTCTGTCTGCCCCAGTCTTGATAAATCCCCCCTCACTGTATTTCTGTTAACCTCATCCATAAGCTGCTAAAAGACCTGTTCTGTGTTGCATTGTCTACTCTGTTTAAAAAGCAAGAGTAGTGCAATTATAACAGCAGAGAATGGGTGACATCAGATATGGCTGTATTAAGAGCAGTTACACATTAAAAATACCTCCCCTCACACAAGGTGCACATACATAAACAGCTTTTCTACAACACATTCAGTTCCCCACATCCTAGGGATAGAACATTTGTTTTGGGGGCCATCATTAAGGTTTATTTCTAAAGCAATTGGTTGTAAAGTTTTTTTTTACACAGTACAGGTCTTTAAACACTTGAAGACCAGGTTGTTAAACCCCCTTCCTGGCCAGGCCATTTATTCAGTCATGCAATGCTCTAGTGAAAATAATTTTATACCCTTTTTGGGGGGGACAGATAGAGCTTTCTTTTGGTGGTATTTAATCACTGGGGTTTTTATTTTTTTTCTATATAACATTTTCTATATAACAAAAAAAAATACCCTAAATTTTATTTGAAATGTTAGAAAACATTTATCATCCCAATTTTTTGGTAAAATATAAAAGACGGGGTCACGTCGGGTAGACACCAAACATGTCAAGCTCTAAAATTGCTCACGCCCGCGAAATGGCAGAAAATGTCCACACCCAAAATTGGCCATAGGCGACACTTTAAAAGCTTTTACCGCTCATCAGTTTAGTGTCATCAGTAATTATTGGACCTAAAATGATTGCTCTGATTCCGACGTTCGCAGCGATATGTAACATGTGCGGCACAATAGGCAGAATAGTCGTTTTCATGCGTTGGCACCGTTAAAAATGTTTTTGTGTTATTTAATTTTTTTTATTTGTCTTTCTTTTAGCTTCTTTTTTTATGCTTTCATTTTTCTTTAACTTTTTTTTACACTTAACTTTATTGCTATCACATAGGGGACTAAGAAATCCCCTATGTGATAACCAATTCACATGACAGGTGCTTTTTATGGAGACATCAGGGGTCTCTAAGACCCCTAATGTCACCTAGGGACACCCAGAGAAGCTGATGAAGCAGAGATCTGTTTCATCAGCTTCTCACCAGCACCTGTAACCGGAGAGTGACACTGAATGCAGGAAGTGATGTAATGTACATCACTTCCTGCATTCGGGGACCAGAGAGGAGCTCAAAGGGAGATCGTGTACACCCGCAGCTACTGCAAGCGATCGGGCATCTCTAGAGATGCTCGATTGTTTGAATGTAAACAGTCATCACTGGCTGTTTACATTTCTGACAGTTTCCCCACTCATGGGGGGAGGAGCAGGACGTCTTAAGACGCCCTTTCACTCCTATAAGGCTCCCATCCGGCCGTTCAGGTACGGCCATGGACGGGAGGTGGTTAAGAGCATCTTGTGGTAAATCTTTTATTGCCACATTTGTAACTATTATGGCAGAGTAATCGAGAGCTGAAAACAAATTTGGTTTAAATTTATGTAGCAGGATTCAGGCATTAATGTAGAAGTTATTCAGGTGCCAATCCAGCCGTGCTGGGGAACCTGGCTGAAACTTACCAAATATAATATTGACTACAATTGGTCAATGACATCAGACAGGTTTCCTGGCCCTACTAGAATGTAAACATTTTTTTTTTTTTGTTTGCTTGGGGTCGATATTACAAATTCATACCAGACCCTTATCCAGGCATGCAGCCTGGGTGGCCAAGAAAGGAATGAGGGAGGCCTGAACCATAGCACGCGACATGCACTGCAAGTGTGGTGTGAGATAAGGGTATGGTATGAATTTTGAGGGAGACCTCACTGTTACTTTTGTTTGAGAAATTCTGGGCTAAACAGTGACTGCATCCAATCAGATGTATTCAAACATGCTGCAGTTTTCTGAATATTGTAGCCAGCGTAAGAGAGTACTTCACCCATGCTTTTAAGTAATTTTCTCTTTTTCAGCCCAAGGGGTAGACGAAAGAAGTCTCAAAGTGTATGCTTACCTTAAATGACAACCATGAACATTACAGCACCACAAAATATACACTTAAAAATATGCTAAATGTTCGTATTAAAAAGGAGTATTAAAGTCTTTCATGCAAATTCAAAAATAGCAAGTTAAAAATAGTGCATGCATTCATACTAGCAAAGTTTTCTTTTGCTTTAGCCATATGCTATCTTATAGAATCTGTTCCATTACCTCTCCTCTACATTAGTGGCAGATGAAGGTGGTGCTGCCATCTGAGGGAAGTTATGTGTAGGAACCATTTTATATTCTGTCCCAAAAACTAAGAATCTAGTGGGTCAGTTCTAGCCACACCTTAACCCTCACCCTCTAATGCTTTCTTTCTAATAGACACTCATCACTTGTTTTGCTAAATGCAGCTATCAACCAAATGAGAAGGCACAACCCTTGCCCTCAGCTGCAACTTTGTAGAACTCCTCGTTGCTGAGAAGCTGTTTGTCTTTCTCCTTTTACTAGTCAGTATGTATTGTTATGCTGACCAGAGAGTCGAAAACAAATGTGTGTTTTGAATGGTGTGTGCATATCCCCAAGTGTATTAATTTTTTGTTTTGTTCTCTCCTCCCCTCGTCCTCATTTTCTGTTCATTCTCCCCCTACCTTTTTATTTAATTGAGCTATGTTATACTGCTTTTGTTTTGGGGCTCTGCAAAGTTTTTATGGTTTTATTTTCCTTAGTAGTTACTACGGCTTAGATTTTCTATACATGCACAATTTTAAAAAAAAAACACCTTTAAAAAAATATGAGAAGGCAGCACACAGGACAGTACTGTACTTCCTATGAAAAGCAAATGACCATTGAGCTATGCAGCAGCAGAGATCAAGCCAAGAGGTCAGAGAGCAGGAGGTAGGCAACCTTTGCACTCCAGCTTTGGTAAAACTACAAATGCCATCATGTCTCTGGTCTTGCAGTGCCTTCTGAGATTTGCAACCTCAGCTATAGTGCTGAGGTTGCCTACCCATTAGAGAAACCCACATAATGTTTCTGCACCTGCACAGCTGTGAAACCTACAAGAAATACTGGTTTGCAGGAAGTTTTGAATTCACTAATTTGTATTTTGGAGTTCCAGAGTTGGCATTACAAAAATAGTAATGCTTTAAATCTTCTTGTATTGTCTTTAAAAAAAAAATCAGTTTTTAAATAAATTAATGCAACAGACTAAAAGGATTTCTAACTAAAGATGTAATTAGAGTAGTTTTGTGAGTTTTTACAGTATATCTAAACTTGTAAAAAAAATGTTGCAGCCTACCATTTCTTGAATGTAGTGGCTAGTTAGTGTTTTTTTTCTGCAAAAAAAAATAATTAGATTTTTGTCTTACCTGTACAAATAGGATTTTTGTACTCAACATTAAATCCTTTTCTTGACCAAACAAGGCAGCATAGGAATGGATTTAGTTCCGCCCCTCACCCAAACACAGGACCAGTTACACTATAAATTAAATCACGCCTCCCAAGGCCACCATTCTTTTTTCTGTCCTCACTGCTCAAGCCGGTTATACTAAGAATATGTTTGATTTTTACCCTCACCTTGCCGGTCGCTTCTGGCCTGCCGCACAGATTCAGCCTCTCCTTGTTGCAAAGTTTCCTTTGTTCAGGTCGCTAAATGCTATTTTATAAGGGAAGCCTACCCCCATATCTTCAGAGTTTGGGGTGCAAGAAATGGTCTCTTGGGGTCCTTTCATATTCGGGTTTGCCTCCTCCATCATGGCAACATGTTGAAGACACCTGCTTGGGCTCCTGGTCTTCTGGCTCTGAAGAAACCGTGACTCAGCTGCAACATCAGAAACTGTTGTATTTTGGCTGTAGCAGCCAAAGGGAACGGACTGCATCACAACTGCATGTGGTGTGAACGAACCCTAAGGCAGTCATTTACAGAGTATTGCCAGCATACATCTTAGGTGATAATTCACTGCCAAGGATTCCCTTACTGTGTGCCTTTAGTCATCCCCTAATCAGGGCAGTTAAAAAGGTCATATGTTGGAA